CAAAGCCACTATAACTTTATGTAGAATTATATATTATTGATTCCAGCAATAATATATTTTACATGATTTTGCAACAATTTGTTGAATTTCCAGCAAGGACTACTACAAGAATCACCCTCGCTTCAAGGAGCTCTACACAGATGACGACGGCGATGGGAAGATAGACTACGGAAAGAAAAGAGTCTTCAACAACTAGGAGGAATATAATAAATAGATATATATGTTTTACATCCATATAAAATACGGAAACTTAATTCAGAAGATGAAAAATTTAACAAACTTTTTGAAATATAGGTCCACATTTTACATATAGAACATTATTACATCCCTTAATTTTTTTGTTTTATTTTGTATGTAATTTTTTTACTAAGAAATAAAAAATCTTCATCATCTATAGATACATACAAAAAATTAAAAAATTAAAGAACAGACAAGGAAAACATTTATAGTTTAAGAGTGTGTACAGTATAGTAAAAATGTTATTGTTATAGATATTTTAAATATAATTTTGTTTTTTGTCGTAGTTGTGTTCTTATCATTCCCCCAGGTGAAGTTAATATCACCTTTTGAAAACAATATCTTAGATTTTGACCATTTCTGACCTTTTAAAATCCAAAAAGGAAGTTTCCATTTTGTAAAGTTATACACTATTGAGTAAAAATAATTTATTGTCACTGTACGAGTATAGTTGTGTCAATAACCTAATTACATTGTCAGAAAAGTCCTTTGAGAATTATTAAAGCAAGCTGTTAGGAGGAGAGAAATTCAGTGCATTAAAAACCATTATTAACTACTAAGCATTATAACTATTTTAAATTTCAAATTAAATGTAAAAGTTCACTTACCTATTATTTCTTGTTATATATGTTAAACATATAAATAACATCCCTATTTATATAGCCTGTAGTATCTTAAGTTTACTAATATGTTGGAATTTTGAAACAGGTAGACATAAGAAATTACAAAACATGTTAAATTGCATACAAGAATCCAATACATAGTGTATATTCCATTGAAAATTCACTATTGTGAATCACCTCCAACCATTACATTACATTAGTCTTACTTACGTTAAATGTTTGCTTATATCGACAACAAATCCTAAATATCACATAAATATCAATTAATAGATGAATCCTAGGAGTATATTAAGTTCGGTATACCACACTGTAGACAAAATTTATATTATGAAAAACTAACTTAACCATGTTTGGAATTGATTCTGTGTCCTGAGCATTATTCTAAATATAAACTTCAATGATGTTTTGCATTCTTTGTCGAAAAAAAACTATCTTAAGGCTCAAAGGCAAGAATTTATGTCTACATTTTGTCTACGAAATACAATCTCGACACCTTCATATCGTCGTATTCCATACCTTTAACGTTATATGCAAGAATATACTTATTTTATATTTTCCTTAGTCCTATTAAGGACACGAATATCCTTATTGATCTCATTCCCATTAGGGACATAAATATGGATATGTTAAGCCGTCCTTAGCCATGATCTACTTTCATGTAATATTTCAGCCCAAAAGGTTAAATAGTTTTTTTTCATCCGGAACTAAACATACTTTACTGAAGATATGCCGAACCCACATCTCCTTCACAATATAAATTGCATAAAGCTACTACCATGAACAATAAAGTTGTATAAACATATTCATGCAAAAATGCCTCAAAATTTGGATTAAATTAAATAAATCCTACAAACGTAGAAATCAAAAATATTTCGACTAAATTAAATTTTAAAAATACCGCAACATTTGCAGTCGACAAGATTAACAACGCAAGGTACACCACGTAGGTAGTACAAGGGAGGGATAACATGACGTCACGGCCGACAGACTGTCGGTGACCTCCACTGATAACCTGCCTTATCTGTAATCAGGAAGTGATAAGCGGGCGTGGCTGACCTTGCTACAGTGACCTCTTGAGATCAGGATGTTGCAATGGACCATGTCTTGCCGCTAGTCTGGAGGCTGTCGCTGATGACTAAGTCGTTTTTGGTGAGAATTATCAGCTGTTATAAATATTGATCAGCTGTTAAATATTTATCAGCTGTTCTACGCTGGTTATTAACATGATCATTTACCGTAAGACTTCTGTCTAAAAAATTTTAGACACTTGAGTTTGGAGCTTTACAGAAAAGAAACCAAACTACTTATAAAAACATGGAGTGTATCAAAATGTCCTTTGTTTTATTCTACGTATTCCCGTGAAAACAAACATTTTTAGCACGTTAAGAATTTTTTTAATGACAGTTGGAGGGTAAAAACCCCTTGTTTTTAGAGTATCAAAAACCATCTTATGACTTTATTATGAAACTTTCACAAAATATACTGAACGCCAGAAAGTAAATATTCGGAAAAAATACACAATAACTCATTATCCATATTGTACTAAAGTTTGATTAAGTTCTGACGTTCTGTTTATATTGTGCGAATGTTCAGTTATTAGATGGTTTTTGATAATCTAAAACAGGATTTTTTTACATTCCGACTATCATAAAAAAAATTTAATCGAGCTAAAAAAATTGAAGCTAAATATTCGTTTTTATTAATATAAAATTTTTGATTTAATTTTATTTCACTCGCGCCAGTAAAACAAAGTGATATAAAAATGAATTAAAATAAATTTGTAGTATTACTAGCGGTAAAAAGATTGTGTTTCCGCCCGGGATCGAACCGGGGACCTTGTGCGTGTGAAGCACACGTGATAACCGCTACACTACGGAAACTTGGAATTGAGGGAGATAGTCTACGCTCTTGGTCTAAATTCTACCGATGACTGTATATATACAGCGACGATTCTAATTGCTTCTAAATAAAAATGCAAGTCCAAAGATACGAAATATAGTTACTTAAAAATGGTATTTCAGTTAATTTAAATTTCATGTCCATTAGTACACCTTAGTGTGTACATTATTTTTCTGTATCTCTATTCTAGTAGCTTAAGTAGTTTCCATCAAACCTATTTCAGCTAGTTCAATGTAGTTAGAACACGGGACCTCTGTCCTGAAGTTCCCTTGTTCGAATCCAGTCAGTCACTAAAATTCTTTAAATTTGTGATATTGGAGTAACTCGCTGGATTGGAGATCATCTCAAGCAGTATGTTTAATCCAAAAAAAATCTTAACAGCAAAGATTGATTATCCAAAGATTTTTTCCAAACATTTCTCTTATTTTGCCTCTGCTAAAAGCTTTAAGGAAGCCTCATAATATTCTTGATAAATAATGAAGAAGTCTTGAAGCTCTATCATTATTACCTTTTAGCAAATTCCTCAATTAGGGAATAAGCCTTAAGTCTCAATGTTTCATGTTAGGACCAAGAGCCGATTTACTATAGTTAAAATCCAACCAAGTTAATGGAAATTCACTTAGTCTGCAGGGTTGCTGAGGCAGGGGTATTTTGATTAGTCAGACTGGAGGAGAGACATAGTTAAAGACATTCTAATATAATGTGCTCATAATTGAGGGGCTATTTAGTGTGACAGTTGTTTTAGGTATTGACAAAATATACTTAAATTTACAATAATTTGAATCATCACTAAAACGTCGTTGCAAAAACGATTTAGAAGCTTTATCATGAAGATTTATTGAATTAATTAATTTTTAATTCAAATCCTGAATGCAAACATATGAATACAATTAAAAATCTATAACTAGAACCAAAAACAACAAATTTTAATTTTTACTCCTTCACTGGCTTTCTCCTTAACCCTCGGCTTAACCAAGACTAGCCAGAGAAAGTATTTACCAAATAGGAAGTTTGTTATATATTTGTACCAACACAACATAATGCAATAACGAACATTCCTCAGCTAATAAATAACCATAATAGACAAGGCCACATTGGGTAAGGCTTAGAAATTAGCAGCACATAATTAACTTACGTTTAATACAATCGGAAATACATTGTTTACTAGATTATTCGTAAAGAGGAACTAAAAATATGTTTAAATACAAAACAAATGACAAAAGGCTTGGATATAGTAAACAAGAAATGAAATAAAGTCGAAATAACTTAAATTCAGTATACTGCAATTCAAGTTTTCTAAATCGATAAAAAAGTAGTTTAAAAGAACAAAAAAGCTGGGTTGGGTATGTAGTAAATTGCATTATTTGTCGTAGAACTTTGAAAGAAAAAAAAATATATAAATACAAAAATATAAAACACACTATCACGATCTGTAAACTCCAAGTGAACTACTTTTAGACAAAGTTCTGTAGATATATTTTTTTTAAGTGGGAAAGCGACGTGTAGTTACTGCATCGTCTTTGACCTTTGTATAAAACAACACATAGAAATATTATAAATACAAATCTCATTATCAGGATCTACATCCAGAATCCAAAAATCGTAGTTCTGGTTCCAAATTCAATCTAATATTAACAACACACAAACCCGACCCATGCTTTGTTGTTTTCTACTTCTACTACCGTGGAATTTTGGATACAAAAATTGATACAATACTATATGTAAACACAAAAATACCAAGCAAATATGGAAATTTACCTCAAAGTAACGGAATCTGTGAAATAGTTATCAGAAAAAATTTAGGAAAACGAAACAAAACCTGTGGAATTAAAAATTCGCCAAACTTCCAACCCCGAAACAGGCAAAATTACCAAAAAATATCGATAGAAGAGAATAGGTAAATGGGAAATCGGTGTTGGAAATACTACATTTTACTATATTGTCACCGTGGGCTTTGGGGGAAAAATGGATACAAAAATATGCATATACAAAAATACTAAACATATGGAAATTCAAATTCACCTAAATTGTAGTATCGGAATATGTGAAATATTTACAAAAAAATTAAGAAGAAGAACAAACTTCAGAATTGCTACACTGTCTACAGTAATTGTTGGAGGCGAAAACACAAAATAAAAATACATGTAACCAATAGAAATAAATAAAATAAAAAATAAACAATGCAAACTCCAAATCCACCCTCCGAAAATCGGTAGTCCGATCATCAGTGTTGTAATTGCTACGTCTCCCGTGAAAGTGTCTCCGCCCCTCCTAGCCTCCTCGTAGCCTCATACCGCGTGGTCCTCTACCGCACAACACATCTACCATGGCTGCTACACACGGCGTAGTCCTGGCTCTGGCGCTCGTATCTGGTGAGTAGATTAATTAGAGTAACAGGGGTTACCTCAGGGTTGCACAATTGGCCCTTTGCTATTGATGTAGATATCTGTTATATGGACCAGCTGTAGCCAATTTTTATTCAAAGATAGTTGAATGCACTTCTTATAGACTCTATTTTCTTCTTAAGCTGGTGATTCGTATTTTGGTGAGACCATTCACATTTGGATTCTAAAGTAGACACATATATGAGGACCATCTGTAGTAGAATTTTTTTTATTTACATAAAACATAGTAGAATATATCATCATAGTGCACTTTTTGTCCTAGAACTCTACGCTCTAGCTAGGAATTGTTTTTCACTTTACTTCAGCATAGCCCTAGGGGTTGTGACATCATCACTTAGATTAATTCCACTGGTGATTGACGGGATGTAAACCCAAACATAAAGTTTCCTACTATCAAAATTTAGTTTACCCATTAGCTGTCGGTATGTTGAAAGGTGGGTGTGACCGTTACGTTTTGGTTATTGACACCTCGTTTATATGTACTAGCTATAGACGCTATAGCTAGGTCCTTCTATATGTTTTCTGTATTCAAAATTACAACATTGTGTGACCATAGATTTTTGGTTACTAATTATATATCCCATCTATATAGACCAGGTGTAGTAGATTTTTTAAATCGTTATAGCGGAATGGTCCTTTGATAAAGTCTATTAATGTCGTAACTATTATTTGGATGCTAGAGTAGACTAAGATAGATTATAGGTAGATCGAGTACAAGATGGGCCAGCAGTAAAGAATTTTCATTCAAATAAGTGTTGAATTACACTAGCATGGAAGTGCATTGCTGTCAAAACATTTTTCTATTTTATCTGTTGATAGTGTGATGTGACAAATAACTTTTGGATAATGAAGTATACATCCAATGTAAATGGACCTGCTGTAGCAGTTTTTGAGTGCGATTTTGTCAAAAGTGTTTTTCATTAATAGCCAGAGGGTGTAGGCCCTATATCCTTTCAATGTAAGAAATGTTCATATTTTATAAATATTTTGTCTCTAACATTTGTCTGTGGGTACTACGAGTTCTTAAAGTTTAAAAGATGTATTTTATGGATGTTTATATATTTAGTAAAAAGTAATTTAGTATATCTAACGGTTTAAAGTCCGATATACTTACGGCGTATGGCATTTGTGGATCTTGTTGATGTTTGTTTAACTATTCCTGTATTCGCTATCATTAGACTGCAGTAACGTTACCAAAAATATCAGCTCTTCTAGAGCGTTTCATGAAAATGATTTGTAAACATCGATATCTTATTATGACTTTTTGAAATATAAGCTCTACAAAGACCCTTGCCCTTATTTTTCAAGAAGCATGTCTTCTCACTAGATAAACGTACAGCTCCATACCTAAAAATGTTGTCCAACTTCAAGCCACAGCATTTTCATCCAGACAAAATCCGTGGATATATTATGTAGAAACTTTATCTGGGATTCAATGATAAAATATTGGAAGCAAGGAAGTACTTCCTATTTGTTTGTTCCATTAGTAAAACCAGGTGTAATAATACCTTTTTACACTTTTTTCTGTTCTTTCTTTAACATTTCATTTATTAACCCCAACTTGTGCCCTATTTTGAAACTGCGCGGCGTATTTGTAAGTTTTAAACGCATGTGATTCTCAGTATCTTTTACGTGGCAGGATAATATATGAAAGTCATACATTACAATATTCTACAGCAACTGACTTACTAGTTTCGCAATTTCTATCGGTAACAAAGCATGTTCTCCGGTTCAAGGAACACCCTTGCATTGCACCATGTTGAGAGGGCGTGGTGGGTTTCATATCAGTTTTGTAAGTTAAATACCTCCTGTAAAAGTACTTTCAGACCTTTGTCAAATTGTTCACCCTCAAACTTATTTATCTCTTGTTTGTCTAGTTATGGACAAGAGGTTATATATTAGTCTACGGGTGTGCAAAAATAGTATATTTTATCACTATGCTTTTTCCAACACAAAATCGACCGAGACTTAAGTCAATGGTAAAATCAGCAGGAGATTTTCGTTGAATATCTCTGTGTAAAAATAATAACTAAACGATCAGCTAACGAACAGCTGATTTTCCTTTGCCTCATAGAGAAATTGAACTGATCAAGAATTATTAGAGCAGAAACCGTATGGATCATGAACATTAAAATACCCCCGCCGCAGCAAACCTGCAGACTAAGCGAATTTCCACTTTTCTGATTACATTTTTACTAAAATATTTCCATAAATACGACATATTTATTCCTTATTTATTATTACGGGGAAGGTAAAACGTGTTTTGACCAAACGTCAATAGTATAGTTATGAAATAAAAAAATGCAAAATTTTATCAACATATATCTATAAACAAGTAAACTACAACAGTTTTCATTTGGGAAATTTAAAGTTACACTTTTTTGAATTTGCTCAGTAACCATTAGGCACACAACAATGATTCAGTATATAGTACTAAATTGTTTCTTTTTTAAGCTCTAAAATGGTTGGGAAAGATATTCCAAAATTTTATGTTTTTAGGGTCAAAATGGGAAAACCCAATTTTTACCCAATTGAAAACCCCCCATAAACCTCCGGTCCCATGCTGGTCATGCTGGTTCGCAAACTCTTTCGTATAAATGTAGGTTTACACGTCTAGTGGGGCCTTGCACCAACTCATTAAAACGATTCAGGCGAGGAAAAATTCCCTGTATAACTCCCAACCTTAAAACCCATTCTGCAGTTAAAAGTACAACCAAAAAACGCAATTCTTTACCCAGGTACTGTGACAGTAGGCCTACAGCTGGTAGGCCCAACATGTGGGATTCTACATAACTCCCTCTTACGTCACATACCTGAACTTATCTACATAACCATCTGTGATGAAGCAATCATCTTATTACGTCATTGTCTTCAGATATCAACAAAACCACTTAATGGAGCAACCATCTTCCGATTCGTCCAGTAATCTCCATACAAAAGAAATCTGAATTCACTTTCACTGCAAACAGGTGGAGGGATTCCTCTTTGTCTGACCGGAATCATAATGGAGTTTTGTTTTTTTTTGTCAAAGTTGAAACATGTTATACTTTTTAATACTTAAATACTTTTTCAATGAAATGGCGACCATACAAAGTAGGTATTTTAAGCCAAGTATGAATGGAGATGAGTGTAGGATGAGTGGCGCGATATTGTAGTCTTGTTAGGGACTACCGACTCATTCCTTAGACACTGCTGTTAATTAGTAGCCCATTCAGCTAATGGCAACTAGGGGACCTACAGTTTATAGTGGAAATTGAACCACATTTTTACCTTGGTATATACGAGTTGGTCTAATTTTCAGGACAGTACTGCGGAAAGTCGTAGTACTCACTCGTGCGGACGTTAATCCACACCAGAGAGTATCACATTCACAGTGCATGCCTATAAATATCCACCATTCGTAATCTCCTAGAAGCTGGATTACGGGACGACACCCCTTTTCCCAGCTGTTCATAGTGTAATAATCATTGGTTTTTCCATTGGGTTTTCATGAGATAACATTTTTCAGTTTTGGGACGTGAAAGAGTAAATTGCTCTTTAAAACGGAGAAAATAGTTAGAAAGCGTGTTTTATTACTTTTCTTGTAGTATTAGTTGGTCGGCATTCTGCATAGTGCAACTGAGGTAGGATTGGTACCTTTGACTTAGCTTAGTGAAAGGAAATTATATTTTTACATATACATTTATGCAATTTGCTTATAAAGATTTGACATTATTTTGATGCTGGTACGCTGTACTTTTACTATTTTTATTTCAATAGAATATTTATTGCAATTTTTCATGATGGGTAATTATGGAAAGTCATAAGATCTATACCCTGTAATACTCCGAAACTTGACAACGACTTTGAGGAAATGCTAACCAAAATAGAACGCAACAATTCTGAAGCAAAGAAACTTTTTTGAGTCTTTTTGCAAACACACAAGTAACATCTTTCTACAATTGTAATTATAATAACCCATGATATCCATTAAAAATATGTATCTACTGGGATGATAACATGTTCTAAATTACAGTTCATGACAACTAAGCTTTCGAAACAAGCATAATCCTAATAATATTCTCAGTTTCCATGGTGAAAGGCTCGTTTACAGGTCATCTGAGGATGTGAGCGGAAACAATAAGTCTTATTTTGTTTGGGGAAATACAAAATAACAATGTGAGAATCTCTTTCACTCTCTCACACTCTTGGCGAGGGAACTTCTCACAGAATTCACTAAATTATAATCATTTATTCAATCAAATCGTCCTTGCTGATTCTATGGTAGCCTTGTTGTGTCTACCTTGTACAGCTTTTGGATTTCTTGTAGGGTGTTTGAAATTAATGCGCTTAAATTTACTATTCCCACCTCAACCAAAATTTACGATTTTCACTTTATTAGAATTTGTTTCTTTTGTCGAAAATTCAAGCAGTAATATCTAGATTGTTACCTTACTAAGCTATACAATAAAGACTTGTCCTAGAAAAGAGCTTCTACGACGATACTTTGGTGTGTAAGTGTTACAACTTAACAAGAGGTCAACATCAATGATATAAATTATCAATTATTTAAGATGGAGACTATGTAGCAATTATGTGCGTATTTTAACCCAAATATGAGTGAAGGATGAGTGTAGGATAAGTGGCGCGATCTTGTAGTCTTGTTAGTCACTAAGGCCGACATATTGCTTAATTAATAGTCCATACAGCTAATGGCAACTAAGGGACCTACAGTTTATAGTGGAATCCAAACCACATTTTTGGCTTGATATTAATCAATCGGTCTAATTATCAGGATAGTCGTACTACCATTGTATTAATCACTAGTGCGGACTGTAATCCATACCAGGGAGTATCGCATCCACAGTGCATGCCCAAAAATATCCACATTTCGTGACCTCCTAGTAGCTGGATTACAGGACGACGCCACCGTCCCAGTGTAGTAAAAGGACTAGGGTATGGACCGTTCCCTTGCGAAAAAAGTGAGTAACCCAATTAGGGAAAAACAATCAACTCAAAGATACGAGTAATAAACAAAATTCATTCAAATTAATCCTCTTCGAAACTAAGCATTCTAAATTCTTATCCCCCGATTATAAAACAATCATAAATGACTGATCATTACAAACAATTTAAATAATACTAAACTAAATAATCGGGTACCATACCAAGGAATGTGGTAGGTGGAATGTAGTGTTGATAATAGTGTTAAAGAAGCCCGTTATTTGACCTTGAGTGTCAGACAGACAGTTATAGCGTTATATTGAAGGACATTTCCCGCTGGTACAACACTTAGCTCACCTACCGTTAGGCCTTTGACCTTTTATCCTATAATATATCATTAGTTAAAGGATCTTTTATACCCCCCCTTCCCGATACCCTATACCCTTTATTATACCCGTGGTTGAATAATGGGGCATACTACCTTTGACAAGATATTCAACATTTAAGATATTGCAATTCCCTATTAGGTAGTGCACAGGTATAAAATAAAAATTGGCATGGTTCACTTTAGTTTCAAAAAGAAGGTATGCTGTGAACATTTTCATGTTGTCAAATAGTTTCTCAACCCTGCAAAAAAATGCCAGCTAGTTGTAAGCTATAGCACTTAACGTCCACATAATCCTATTCATTATTTTTAAGACAAAATAACTTGTTTATTCAGCATTGAACTTGTTGAAGCTGATGTAAGCCATTAGTTGAATTTGGATGAACCTTATGTTATCCTTCTTGTAAATACCAAATTTATCTCAAGAACAGATAATTCATTGAACGGAATCAATTCAATTAAAACTCACATGTGCATGGATTACATTACTTACACAAACAATTTAGTATGCACTCCTCACTAAAATCAATTCAATTCCAAATCCAATCTCCAACTTGGCTCTTAAAGTGTTTTTACGAAGCTATGTTCGTTTTACTACCACTTAAGAATGCAGTCAACCCACAAGACTACCAATCGGTTGGCGGAGTTTCAAAAATGTTAACGCATCAGTAGTCTTGTCTCAATACGGTGGGAAGGTTGGTAAAATGTAAATTTGGAGACTTGAATATTAATTAGAGAAGGTGAACATCCAAAGTTTGAAGTTTCTTAAATAGGTCTATAAGATTTCGACATACCCATGTTAGTATTTTCTACTGAGACCAAATTATTATTATAAGATTTTTTGTGATACAGTAGGTCAATGATCCACTCACGAAGCGTACTACCTTTGAGACCATATAATAATCTATTTAATAATAGGAGGAGATTGCTTTTCTTTGTTTTAGGATACTTTAATAATTACTGTAATCGGTGTAACATAATTGCTATAGTATGTAGTATGTTAACCTTTGAGTTTACCTTTGTCAAATAATTATTGAACTTCATGTACTCTATCGGTGGCTCTAGTCAACAACGTGTTTGCATTTAAAAACTGAATAAGATTCAAGGTGGCAATGAGATATCTACTTCCCTTCATGGTCAAAATCACAACTTCAACATGATAACAATGTATTTGTAACTATAGTCATATTTCATACCATTAAGTCTTTTATAACATCCAAAAACTTAAATTTTGCTGAGTAATAGCATAGACATAGACTAACAAACACAAGTAGACTTTTTAACCCTTTGTAAAATCTGAAACTTGTTTTTCATGCCTAGATAATGTTGGTGGTACTAAGTGATAGTGTCGACAAAATTTTCTTTTCATTTTAGGGTTAATTGTTTGATTTATGCTTTACTTGTATGTTACATAAACAGGAGACAAACTATTGTTTGTGATTAGTTCGTTTTATCATAGACAAAAAATATTAAATATAGACTGCCAGCCGTGCTACGGTTTCCATGGTTACCATAGGTTCTGGCGGACACCGCTGGGAGCACCGTGTAGTTACGTAGCGCGTACACCAACTACATGGCGCTCCCAGCGGTGTGCACCAGAACATATGGTAACCGCAGCACAGCTGACGGTCTATATTTAATTCTTTTTGTCTAAGGTTGTATTCAGTTAACGAGTTTTTAAATGTCCGAAATAACATGAAACGTATCGTAAACAAAAACACGCCTCTAGAGGCACCGAATGGAACTCACAATAACAATTTCTTCAGCTGATTCATAAGGATGACAAATCGAGCAGGGAAGTATATTTTAACCATTGCAATAGACACCAGCACTCTTTTCCAGTGGTTAAGTTAGACTACATACATTTTTTATTAAAAATCTCCCAGAACTTTAGATCAACATTTCTACTTCTTTCATTAAGTTCTTTACCAACAATACACTATCAACATCTGTTTCCAGCTGTGGTCAGCCAGGAGTTCAAATGCCCAGACAAAGATGGTTACTACCCAGACCCGGTCCAGTGCGATCTCTACTACCACTGCTACAGAGGAGAAATAGAAGAGAAGCTGTGTCCTGACGGTCTGCTGTTCGATGACACCAACCCTAGCCATGAACAATGTGATACGTCCGTTAATGTGGAGTGTGGCGACAGAACTGAACTTCGTAAGTAGACTGGTAGTTTTAGTGGTGGATGTTATAGTCTGTATGGTGAAACCTGTCTTATAAACCTTCGACCTTGGACCATCCCAAGCCATAAACCATTAACCACTCCCCAGGAAGACGGAGAGTCAGTAGACAGGTTCTATCATACAGAAAGTAGATCTCTGGTCTGGATTTATGATTTCATCTAGGGACGAAATCAGGATTTTGAGGAAGAAAGTCTTGAACTGACAAGCTTCAACTTGCTGGTTGAGATAACCTCTACTGCGGTCACCTAGGGCTATAAATACAGTTTTTAAAGACCATTCAGTCACTGTAACATGACTACTTGCAGTTAACTGTGTGTAAATAATTCTAGACTAGAAGGTCTATGGTGACGAAAAGTTAAGTGTTTTATCATAATCTAATGAATGGTTAATCTTTTTCGGTAAGGTACCAGAAGGATAAAGATGATGGTGGAAAATGGAGTGAGTATTGTCAGACACCCCAAGAAGGTACTTAGCAGATCGGGTGAGAATGCTATACTGTTCTCAAAACGAACAATATAGGCTACCTTCCTTCACAACCACTCAACTGGCACTAATTGGTTCAGTTAGATGGCAATTTAGAGGTCGTTATTTTATGTCAAAACTTTACTCTTCCTACTGAGTACAAGTGCCTACTTAGGCATGTCTGACCATAGCGTGAAATTTATCAAAGTATCTCGAAGTATTAAAGCGTAATTTCAAGTAACTGTACAAGAAATGGGCTTTAAGAAAAAACTAAGAGTTTAACATTTTTTTAAACATGGAAATCGACTGTAAGACGAACAATCTAAACACGTTTTCCAAAATTATATCAAACACGGATGTTTTAATCCCTCTTTTTAACATATGCTACTTTTGACTACTTCCTTATTTGCATTCCTTCTTTCTATTATCATACTCCTTTTGACAAAGGTTTCAAACTGATTTATCTTTTTCACTTCCAGAGGAGCCGAAGCCCTCCCCAGGGTGTCCAAGGGCCAACGGCTTCTTCCGCCACCCCGACCCAGAGGTCTGTGACAAGTTTGTAAACTGCCAAGATGGAGTCATGACTGTCAACCCATGCCCTCCAGGACTTGTGTATGACGACACCGTCAGTACGTGCGCCTGGCCTTCAGAGTCCATCAGGAAGGACTGCAACCCAGCCCAGTCTAAGAGAGGTGGGTAAAGGGACTGTGGGGGCGAAGAGGCCTTGGTGGGGTAGATGTGCCCCTTTTGGGAGGGGTAGAGTAACTGTAGAAATTTGTAAAGGAACTTTGCGGCGTAGAGGAAACTTCGCGGGAGCGTTACAGGAACGTACGTTATAAGAGACACTTTAAGGGGTAGAGAAACTTTAGGGGATGAGTAAAGTAACTTTGAGGGGCTCGAGAAAACTTGGGAGGAATACAGGAACTTCAGTCGGTAGAGGCACATTAAGGAGTAAAGTTACTGTAGGAGTGGGTAAAGGAACTTTGCGAGGTTAGAGGATCCTTGGGATTTATAGGAACTTTAGTGGGCAGAAGCATATTTAGAGGATAGAGTAACATTAGGGATGGGGATATGAATTTTAGGTAGGTAGAGAAACATGTTGGGTTAAGGAACCATAGGTGGTAGAATAGCTTTTAAGGGAAGATGCTATTTTGGGTGTGTATACGATGACCCAGTCAGTACATGCGTTGGGACTTAAGATCCTATCACAAATTGCTGCAACCCAATTCTTAAATCTAAGAGAGGGATGTAGATGAACCCTAGGGGAGAAAAGAACCCCTTAAGTGTAGGGGGATCGTAGGAACGGGTAAAGGAAGGACAATGGGTATAGGCTCATTAGCGGTAGAAAGACGTTATGAGTAGGCATAGGAGCCCTAGGGGTGGGTAGAGATATTTTAGGGAAGTACAGGTACCTGAATTATAGAGGAACTTCAGGGTTCTCCATTTGACATTCTCTCTTTGTTATTAACAAATTTACAATGTTCTTACGAACCACTCTCGTTAATCAATTACATTATTGCATTGAGATAAGGTTGCGTTTGTCAACTGCCATATATTATCTACAATATGAAGGGATAGTGTGAAATAAAGTGAGATTACTTGTATAGCTTCCTTACTATTTAAGACATTTGTTTGAAATAAAATTAAATGAATTAAATGAAGTGAGATTAAATGGTTTATTTGCTGTTGATCATTTATATGAGATAGGCATTCTTATAGAACTGAATTAAATTAAAACAGATTGTCATAAATCTATAAGTTACAGCTAAAACCTAATTTCTACCCTCTACACATGTATTTAAATAATCATAAATATTATAAAATGTATCGTCTGAAAGCCAAGCAGTTACATTATTTTTGAAGATTTTTAGTGTGGTGGTCCTTGCTCATTCATGTAGTTCGTTGACAAATTTTATGCAATTTGCCTTGTGTGATGTGCCGAATTTTGCCAATCTGTGCTGTGGAATATTGAGTTTTGTCCTGTTTCGGGTTTCGTTTAGGTGTATATCTTGCCTGGTGGGGAAAAGATGAAGATTAGTTTTAGTGTAAATTAGAATATGTAGTATGTATAAGTTAGTTACTGTTAAATTTTTCATTTGTCTAAATAAATGTCAGAATTTTTTGCAAAAATTGATGTGTCATCAGCATATATTACTGACCTAGATCTGAGATTCTTTGGAAGATCATTTATGGCAATTATAAAAAAGAAAGGTCCAACAACAGATCCTTGGGGCACACCCATTTTGATGTCCACAACATTTGAGTTAGTACCCTGAACACAGACATATTTTTGCCAGGACCATAATAAAAACTCAATAATCTGGAAAGCTAGCTCCAGTTTCGAACATTCTTGTCTTTTAGCCTCCCCTACAAATAATCTTCTAATCAATCCTCTCTCCTGAGCAGATAGTCTGGACGATGGCTTCAAGTGTCCCGAGGGAGAAGTGTCAGGGCCCAACGGCCGCATCCTACCTCATCCTACCTTTCCTCACCCAGAGGACTGCCAGAAGTTCTACATCTGCCGTAACGGAGTCCAAGCCCAGCACGGCAGCTGTCCTGGAGGTCTGGTCTACAACGAAGACTCCTTCAAGTGTGACGACCCTGAGAATGTACCTGGATGGTGAGTCTGGTGGTTCGGAATCTACCTTTAGTCTTATATACTTTAGATGTATCTATAATCATTTGAGCCTTTGAAACTTGTATTTTTGCTGATAAATGCAGGGTGAGTGTGAATGGATTGAGATGACCAGAGTAGATTTGTTACTGACTGACATAGTGTTTCTTGAGCCAGGATAAAATTGATCAAGAATAGCTGGGTTCAGTTTTGAATAATTATAATCTGTTTGATGAAACATGTCTTCTGACCCTCCTACGTGGAATTGGCCTGACCCTTAAACCATTGACCAGTCCCCAATTAGATAAAGACAAATAGTTTAACACACAGTTTGAAGAAAATAGGTTCTTTAAATTTACGGTATGCTGTAGTATTACACATCTACCATAGCCATAATGTTCTACCATTGCACCTAAACAATAGAAACAAATTAACTACCAAACTTTCGTACAACATCCCAGATTATTAATGAAATTAAAAACATAGGCCCAAACTTAACTATAAACAATCCTACCTTGTCAGTTCTCATTGCGTATCACAATGCTTGTTGCTGCTTAGTTTAAATTACCTGTTTTCAAAAATGCAAAAAATAATAGTGTTGTACCATTTTGGTAAACCCTATAATCTTTTAATGCTATTGCATATCATAGAACTAACTTAGTTAAAACAGCTGACTATTTTTTTCTAATTCCTTTTAAATATGAATACTCATAAGGTTAACATGGAGAACTACAGAGCCACTGGGGCAGACCCCGAAAGGATTTTTAAGATAAGAATAGGCCTATATGTTACAATATTAAGAAATGTGAGCTATCATCGTGCCAAATTACAGCAAAATCCGTCCAATAGTTAATGCGTTGAACTTCAAACAAAGAAACAAAGAAACAAACACAAAAACTTTCACATCTATAATATTATTATGATAAACGTTACGGGACCTTAATTTTTCAGCGCCTAGAGAGCATAAGAGTACGTTTAATTTATGGATTAACCCTCTATATTATTAAAGGTACACAACAACAAAACAGAAGGCTAAAACACATTTTATTTTATTTTTTAAAACAAAGTTTAAACCAGTCAGTTTAATTGGATCCATCTAAATCAAACTATTTCTGATCAATGCATTTAATTTATTTAGTAATCAGCTTCGTTCAATATAAATCTTTGATTACAGGTTTATGTGAAATAACATAAATCAGTCAAAATGTCAAAACTTTGTGAAAAATATTTTACAATTTTACCAATGAAAACTGTAGCTTACACACGACATACGTATGATATTTTTAATAGTAAACAGTTTATGTTGCAACTACTAATTGTGTGTTTTAATTTTCAGTGAAAACTGGTTTGCTGAAGACGAAAAGAACAACAAGAAATCCAACAGAAGAAGATAGTGAGAAGATGCAAGAAAAGTTGTTTAAAGGTTTCCAGTATTTTGAGAGACAAATTTTAAATCAGAGAAGTGGTGGTTTATGAAATCAAAACAAATCATTAAAAATATAAACATGAAGCACATTATGCCATAAGTTTCAAAACACAACTTGGTACTTAAAATATTCTTTGTTAGTGAATTCAGATTGTTGTAAATTTTGTATAAATCAGTGATTTACATGTGTAGGTAAGATGTTGATATGAGGTTCTGCAATAAGACTTAGTTAATATTTATTTTAATACTTTTGTAAATAAAATTTAAAAACTGTGTGTTCGATTTATTTAACCTTCCTAACAACAATTAGGAATTATCCACAAGATATATAGGTTTTATAGAGCTAAACTAAAAAAATCAACTTTGACACAATATTACTTTTTCGCACTATAAGAACCAGTGTGTTAATTTAACACTGTTAATTATTACTATCATAACTATCAACTACCGTGCCGAAGAAATTATCACAAATTATGTCTGTATATTGAAATTGAAGTAGTTGTGTGGCCCCAAGATAGAGGACTAAAAGTGAATCCCTTTTAAGACAAACTAAAGACAAATCATTGAAATGTTTACATTAGCTTTATTTAGGTTCCCCGAATTCTATACACTTTTAAATTCACATTGTTATTTACATTTTTAAAAGGAAATAAAGAATTTCACCAACTGTTTCAACAAAACAAGTTCATTTAATAACATTAAAAAGTTACAAGTTTTACACCAGGGTGCAGCACCATTATTTCTATTGCATTGATGACTTCAGCTAATTTAAACTAAGCAGCAACAAAAAGCTGTGATACACAATGAAAACTGTCAACTGTCAACTTAGGATTGTTTACAGTTATATTTTTGTTGTTAATTTAATAAATAATTAGTAATATGTTAAACTATAGCATACCTAAATTTAAAGAACCAAATTTTCTCAAACCGTGACCTCCTCTCTGCAAACGCAGACCACGAATATAACTGCAATAAGCATTTTATACTTATATGCCAACCCTGTACGAAAGGCGGGTACTCTGCTAGTAGTTTATAATTATGAGCAAAATCTATAATATGTTACAATTGAAATTTTGTCTTTCTCTCCTCCATCATAAAAAAATATTGAATCAACTAAACAACAATTTCAGATGAATATACAGTACCGAAACGTGTAGTAGGCACATAATTGTGGCTTTGCCTCATGCTTTATTTTCTTGATGTGAAGTAAATATAATTGTCATACAAGTAAATTAATATTTATTTATTGGCCTGTGTCTCCGCTTGAGCAATAACAACTATTGCGGTGAAAAAGAACAACATGTTTGATAACAATTGCCTACCCTCTGATACTTAACTAAGGCGGAAGTGCACACTTGTTTACCCTATTAGAGAGACATTTAGACATCAAAAGTCTCTTGTGTTACTAGACTTCTGTCATATGCTCATGGTTCACAATTAAATACGAATTTTCATTGTAGACTCAAAATATAAATACACAATACAATTTGTACGTACGTGAAAAAAGATACTGGCTATACTGCCAATTCCGTTCACAAAATTTTGGAGGTTGTAGGGGGAAGAAATTCAACCCCCTCCACTTTACTCCACCTTTAAATCAACAGCTGTTCATACGCTCAAACCGTCAATCAGCTGTAATATAAATTTATAAAAAGTGGTGGGGTAACCCAGAAATATTTCCCCTAAAACCACCAAAATTTTGGAAGCGGGCTACGACAATAAGTTTTTTTCAAAAAAAATTTTCAAAAATATAAATGTCATTTTTGGACATTTTATACGATTAAAATGCTATCATTATTATGCCTTTCTGGTCATCTATGGACATTTATATTCATTAGTTTAGGTTAGATTATGTTAAGTAAGGTTAGTTAAGGTGTTATGAGAGTAGGTTGGGTGGGGATTATGCACATCAAGACCTGTCATCCATGGCATATGTGGTATGATTGTTGTCAAAGGTTACAGGTTAGGTTAGGTCATGTTAGTTTAGGTAAGTTATGTTATATAAGGTTAGCCAAGTTTTTTTTTAGATTAGGTAGGTAGGGGTGATCTTAGTTAGACCAGACACATTAACCACAGATTATTTACATGATTGGTGGAAGATGCCACAGTGGTGGTTTAGGTTCGTTTCATTGCGAAATGTATGTAGAACAAAATAATTTTTATTACATTGCCTATTGAAAAGTGTCATCATTCACATTCGTACTGTGAAATTTTAAATACTTTCCCCTTCTTGAATTGACCCAAATGCGGGGTATGAACCCCTCAAAATTCGGACCCCAAATAATACGTGTCTAGTGAACGTTTTGTAGTGGTGGTGGTGTGTAAGTGTGTGTGTGTGTCTGTACGTAGACCAGTTCTCCTTGCCCGTGCTCCAGTTTTGATCAGTGAAAGTTCCTTTGCAGCCTCTGGCAACGCCACGCCAACATAGAAAGTGAACGGGAGTGAACTGTTTTGAACTGTTCCACGGATCAAAATCTTGAAGGACGGATCGAAAATGTATATTATTTAAATGGATCGTGGTTATTTGGATAATCTAAAAATTATCCATGTGTATCTGATCTAATTACTATACATGTGTAAATTATGGTTAGGCTATGAACACCAAAGGCTGAAGAGAAGATGCCAAAAGACCATGGACATCCCCCTAAAACTCATCACCCCTTGAAAACCCACAATTACGTTATGATTGAATCGTCAAATGGTAAGATGAAGGGTTAAGTTAATGTTTATTTCAAAGCTGCTAGTAAAAGCTCCCTCAATTTACAAACCTACCGAGAGTACCTCATACATAAATAACCTCAAACTACTCTTCAATCAAACAACTAATGTTTTACAAATATACAAAGTTGACTATTCTTTAATAACAAGTATGCCGGAAGGACAAAAATCTGCCACCATAAACTAGCTTATTTAATTTATTAACGCCTTAAGTCACTTCAATCGCCTGTACCTCAATCCCAATTTTATTTTCGTATATATGTTCTCCAGTACAGTATTTAGTGCGGCGTAGACAGGTGGGTTGGTAAGCCTGTGGCGCGACATTTCAAGGAGGGCCGGTGGCAAATGTCAACAGATTCATCGATTATACCGCCTCCACTTCTACTTTTTACCTCCTATATTACCATATCTGACTCGTTAACTTAGTTCCTCGTCTCACTGAACTCTACTGTCGAGTAATACTACTCCAACTTGGTTTGGACGCAACATGCAAAGCACAATTCAAAATTGATTGAATTTTCTTTCTCGATTAGGTGCCGCAAAGTGCCGTATTGGTTGGTTAACATCCTGTTGAATTGTTATATTCTTTCGTGGAGGTTTATGTAAAATCTAGACATTCACTGATATTTTAGCCAGGTTATAATAGATCCAGTGGCTCATAGCTGTAGGTCCTCCTGAAAACTAAAAGTATCTGTACAGTATATATAATACGCTAAGCCGATTCTTGTAAACAGAACTCCTCCCTTATTTTTGGACTGATTTTGATGATTAAAGTGTCAAAAGAATGGCCCTGATCTGTAGTTTTGCAAAGTGTTTTTATTTTTTTGAAATCTTAATTAGTTCAGGATGGATCTTCCATCAAAGTTAGGTTTTCTCCCATAAGATTAACATAGGGGTATCTAAATATTTAATTGGAAACTTTGTCTCCACTAATTTGAGAAAACGGTGTCCAAAGAAAGGTTTTGGTCTGTAGATGAGTTATCAAAAGAAAAACGATTAAATTACCTTAGGCCTTTTGGCCATGTGGATAATACTTTTTTCACCACACTATGATGTTTTTGGCTGTATTACATACGTTAATTGGTGGCTGAAAGCTACGTTTTGCTGGCCATGCCAGCTGTCATCGTAATTTGGGGACCGAGCAGGTTTTTACAGCCCAGGGCCGCAAAATCCGCTTACTTACTTAAAACATGAATGCAAACACAATCAAAATAATCCATAGCATTGCAATAGAATTGTGTTATTGTCACCGTTGCCTAGCAACTATTTATTTTCATTTTTGCTGATTCCTCTATTTATTTCTTCAGATAAACTTAAAGTTGTAGTTGTGTTGACTATCAGCGTGCAATATTATAGTGGTGAATAGTGTTAATAGGGTATAGTGTGGTGAAAAATAGCGTTCGTACCACATACCGAAATGGTTTTGCAGCTCTCGATCGATTTAAGTTCGAGACGAAGACGAGAACTTAAAAACCATCTCGAGCCGGCAAAACCTCATTTTCGGCCCTAGGTACGAAATATACTATTAATGAAACAGCTGTTAATTTTAAAATTGTATTTTAAACAACACACATTTATTTAGGGTAACTGAATTGTCTAAAGAGTATTTGCAATGTTATTTTCATGAACTCTTAGAGAGCCTTCTAATGTTATTAGACTAACTAAAAAAGGTTGTGCATGTTTACTAGCGCTACTCAGCAACAAAAACAATTTAATTTATCTCTAAAAAAATATATTCTTAAAGTGCACTGAGCAGCAGCCTAAAAAATACTATGTAACTTCCTCATATAGTTACAAAATGCTCAAACTCGCATTGTGACATTTATGATTCGGCATATATTTCTCCAACAGTTATCCGCAGTAGAAGTTCAGTGTGCTCTTATCGTATCTAATAACATCCAAACACAAAAACCTTGCCTAAAATGGTACCTATCTTGACGAATTATTTGCAGTGGCCTATATTACGGACCGTGGCCCACTGGGTTGGTAACTTTATTGAAAGTAACACGATATTTTGGCTGTAAGAGTAAATACTATTTAAGCAGCTACTGTCATGACAGAAAGGTCACATTCCTTTTAAACTAGATCACATTATCCTTTATAAGATATGTTGATTAACAATGCATGTTAATGTCAATATTTACGTAACAGCCAATTTACAGTAGTATGTTTTTTATCTTTGGAAATGCCACATTGCTATTTCATTTGCATTATTTGTTGCCAATAAAGCCACAAGACCTTATAAACGAGGAGGCCCCTAACCGTAGATTTCGACCGGTTTCACCTAGTAAGTTATATTTGTATAAATATAACTATTGTCAGATAAAAGCTCTTTACTATTGCAAAATTGCATAAGCTAAAAGCCATGTGGAGTTATTGTGAATGCAAATAGCATAGGGAGATATTTATAAGTAAAAATTACAGTTTGCCTACCCAGTTTTCTATAATATTTAATGCGGATATGAAGTAAATTATCATGTATATGTTTTGTGGTATGTTTAACTGTAATGCTAGTTGGTCTGAAAGCATCTTAAAACAGAGAAATGTTT